TTCATAAAAAATGCTTGAAAGTCCTCTATTTCACTGAATGTCCATTTTTCCCCTGAAGGCTTACACTCAGTTTTGCTGGGTGGGTGATTTTGGGCTGTAATCCTATCTCCTTTGCCCACCAGAATATCATATTCCAAGCCCTCTGGTCCCTTAATATAGAAGCTGCTAAATCTTGTGTTATCCTGATTGTGTTTCCATAATACTTGAATTGTTTCTTTCTGACAGCTTGCAATATTTTCTCCTTGACCTGAGAACTCTGGAATTTGGCTGAAATATTCCTAGGAATATTTTCCTTTAGGGATCTCTTTCAGGAGGTGATCAGTGGATTCTTTCAATTTCTATTTTATCCTCCGGTTCTAGAATATCAGGTGAATTTTCCTTGATAATTTCTTGAAAGATGATGTCTAGGCTCTTTTCTTGATCATGGTTTTCAGGTAGTGCAATAATTTTTAAATTTATTCTTCTGGATCAATTTTCCAGGTCAGTTGTTTTTCCAATGAGATATTTCACATTATCTTCTATTTTTTTCATTCTTTTGGTTTTGCTTTACAATGTCTTGATTTCTCATAAAGTCACTAGCTTCCAATTGCTCCATTCTAATTTTTAAGGAAGTATTTTCTTCAGTGAGCTTTTGGACTTCCTTTTCCATTTGGCCAATTCTGCTTTTTAAGGCATTTTTCTCCTCAGTGGCTTTTTGGACCTCTTTTGCCATTTGGGTTAGGCTATTTTTTTAAGGTGTTATTTTCTTCAGTATTTTTTTGGGTCTCCTTTAGCATATTGTTGACTTATTTTTCACATGATTTTCTTGCATCACTCTCATTTCTCTTCCCAGTTTTTCCTCTGCTTTTCTTACTTGCTTCTCAAAATCCTTTTTCAGCTCTTCCATGGCCTGGGACTGATTCATATTTTTCTTGGACGCTTTGGATGTAGAAGCTTTGACTTTGTTGTCTTCTTCTCATTGTATATTTTGATCTTCTTTTTCACCAAAGAAAGATTCTATGGTCTGACTTTTTAGCCAATTACTTGAGTTTTAAATGCTTTGATAAGGTAGGGGTCTGCTTCCAGTGTGGAGAATGTACTAACTCAAGATTTGGGGGTTTTGTGCAGCTGTTTTCAGAGATACTTCTAGGGACCTATAACTTTTCAGTTCTTCCAAGGTGGTACAATCAAGGGCAAGGTGTTTACTCCTTTCCTGGCTTGTGCTCTGGTCTATGAGTGACCACAAGCATTCTTTTCTGCCTTTGAACTGTGAGGAGGATTTTCTCTTCATGATCACTACAAGCTCCACCATGCCAGTGCTTCTCATCCCACGATTGCCACCTAGAACTGCGACCCAGTTTCAAGCATGGGCAAAACAAGAGAATCCTGCCTCAGTTCCAGCAAAGAGATCCCTGCAATCCCCTCTGATCAGCCACTCAATTCCCCCTTAGTCAGTGAGCCAAGAGCTCCAGAAACAGCTGCTGCCTCAGGGCCATGCCATGAGTGGAGCTGGGACTGAGTTTCTCTTTCACCATAGTCACAGACCTTTCCTACTGACCTAAGTTGTCTTTGGCATTTGTGGGTTGAGAAGACTGGAAACTGCCACAGCTGCCCATGATTCAGTCCCCTGAGGCCTACTCCACGTTCTCTGAGGCCTCGTCTTTGCGTGCATGCCCATGCTGAACTGCATTCCTCTCCCAGCGTGGCGTGATAGACCTTTCCAATCAACCATTCAGGTTGTCTTGGGCTAGAAATTTCTTTTACTCTGTCTTTTGTGGATTCTGCTGCTCCAGAATTTATTTAGAGCCATTTTTTACAGGTATTTGGAAGGGTTTGGGGGAAAGCTCAAGCAAGTCTCTGCTTTTACTCCACCATCTTGTTTCTGCCCCCATATATTTTTTTCAATCTTTATCTTCTAACACCATCTGGAACAAATTAGCCATGGCATTAGAAATGCTTTGTTGTTGTTCAGTTGTTTCACTCATGTTTGACTCTTTATGACCCCATTTAGGGTTTTGGCAGAGATACTGCAATGGTTTGCCATTTCCTTCTCCAGCTCATTTGATAGATGAGGAAATTAAGGCAAACAGGGTTAAATGCTTTGCCCAGACTCACAAAAGCTAGTAAGTGTCTGAGGCCACATTTAAACTCAGAAAGAAGAGTCTTCCTGACCCCATAACCAACACTCTATCCATTGCCCCACCATGCTAGTTGATTAATTGACTGGTCCTTATTCTGCCCTCTGGTGCTATAAAATGTAGATAATCTTTCTTCTACATGACAAGCATCCCAGTTAGTGATTATGCCTGCTCCACCTCTTGCCCTTGATTAACATCCTCCATTCTGTCAACCTTTCATTATGTGGAATGGCTTTGCATTCCTTTGCCATCCTCTGTTGCCTGCTCCTGCATGCATGGCTCTAATGTGGGTCCCACTTTGCCAAGACTCCTTTGAAATACGGTTTCCACAAGTTATCTCAGTGCTGCAGGTGCTATCTGACCTAAGCACAGTGCCCTGGGGCTCTTCTTTTCTGTCTCCTGTAGGCCCTCCTATTAATACAGCCTAGGACTGGGCATGGTAGCCTTGGCATATTGTTGATTCATGTTAGGGGTGTAGTTGTCTCAAATCCCTAAGTCATCTTCTCAGCAACTGCAATTTTGCCTGTTCTATATCTGTACTTAAGTAAAAGGCTTTATTCTTTCTTGCTTTAAAAAATTAAATCTTTGTATTCATTTAAAAAACTTTAGTTCCAAATTCTTTCCCTCCCTCCAGCCCTTCCACTGCCCATTGGAAAGCAAGCAGTATAATATCTATTATGCATATTAAGACATGCAAATATTTTTGATGTTATTCAGGCATTTCAGTTGTATCTGACTCTTCCTGACCCCATTTGGGATTTTCTTGACAAAAATACTGGATTGGTTTGCCATTTCCTTCTCTAACTTGTTTGACAGGTGAAGAAACTGAGGCAAACAGAGTTTTTTTCCCTTTCCTTCCTTTTTTCCCTTCCTTCCTTTTTTCTTTTTTCCCTTCCTTCCTTTTTTCTTTTTTTTCTTCCTTCCTTCCTTCCTTCCTTCTTTCCTCCTGGCCTTCCTCCCTCCGTTCCTCAAATTTTCACATATCCTTGCATCATCCCTCTCCTTTTCTAAGTTCTGAACTGATAAACAATGATGAAATCAGCTCTGTCATTGCTCCTTGTAAAGGTATATCAGTCCACTTCCCTCAGGCTTCACTTACCATCCCTGTAACTTGCCAAACCAAAATACTTTCCTAAGCCATCACTCTACTTCCCTAAAAATGATATTTCCCCCATTACATTATAGCTCCTTGAGGGCAGGCACAGTTTTACTTTTGTATTCATATCCCCAGGGCTTAGCACAATGCTTGCCAGATACTAAGACATTCTTGGAAAAATACATTAATTCATTCATTTCCATGTACACGAGTCTTTTCTTGATGCACTGTATTCCACCACCCTTCAATTAAATTTCTTTCAGATGTTCTAGCTCAAGCTCTTTTCATGGGGGCAAAAAGTTGGAAACTGTCGAGAAGCCCCTCAATTATGGAATGGCTGAACAAGTTGTGGTGTATGAATGTAATGGAATACTATTGTACTGTAAGATAGGATGAAGTTGATGGTTTCAAAAACACCTGGGAAGAGCTGTATGATCTGATGCAAAGTGAAGCGATCAAAAGCAGGAGAACAATTTATACAATAATGGCAATATTGTAAAGATAAGCAGTTGTGAAAGACTTAGTAACTCTCATCAACACAGTGGTATCAACCACAATTCCAGCAGACTCGGGATGCAACATGCTAGCCACTTCCAGATAAAGAGCTGATGAATTTAGTGTCGATTGAAGCATGTGTGTTTAAACAAACATACATACATGTATATACAGACATGGCTAGTGCAGGAAATTGTGTTGACCATACGTATTTGTGATGGGCTTTGTCTTGCTTTCTCAATGGATAAGGTAGGGGGAGGTAGAAAGAGAATTTGGAACTAAAAATAAAATTGAATTTTTTAAAAAATCTGACACATTCCCTGGAATATCTCTGGTGGGGGCATTCCCCTTTGCTCTTTTGAGGCAAGATTTGATTTTTGGAAAAGAACAAAAGGCATTCTCAGCAGAGGTGGATGATCGAGCCAGGTGAAAAATGAGCTGTGACTATTCACTAATAAAAATGTTCTTTTATGTCTTATAAATTGGGTCTGATGGAAGCAAGAAAACAGGAGGGGGGAGGGGCTGAGCAATGGCAGTTTTAGTGGGATATGTGTCCATAGCTACTTGGAGGGGTCGCAACTGACAAGGTCTAGTTAGTTAAGAAATCGACCTTGATTCATATCCACACTTATTATGTCTGATTGTTTGACAGAAGGGTATATTAGAAACATGTGTAGTTATTGCATGTGCATTTTTCCTCATTTGCAGTTTAAGGGTGTTCTGTTTCCTTACAATGGTCTTACCTTCCCCGACCCCACATTATATGCCCAAACAGATAATTTAAAACAGCAGACATCTTTTAGAAAAGTCATTGAAATTTCATTTTGGAATAAATCCTTAGGCTTAACCCAACTGGATTTGCTTGTTAATCAAATTCTCCTTAGGTTAATATTAAAATTCCATCTTTACTCTGTGAGCAAAAACCAAATGATTGTAGAAGAGGCAGCTGAGATGCATTCGAAGTTATAATTAAATAATCTTTGTATGGGTAATTGAGAGTTAATATCACTGAAATGTTAATTGAAGCAAATATACACTCCTTTCTGCATTTGAGAAATCCCCTGAGTTATACTGTGGCTCTGTTTCCCTTTCTTTATAGCCCTGGCTCTCTGCTTGGTGCCTGGCATATAGTCAGTATTTAATAAATGCTTGTGGATTGATTGGATATTTCCTGGTAAATCAAACACTTAATTGTCTGTTCTCTGATCAGTTTTCCTAGATGTGACCTAAGTTCTCCCTCCTCTCTTTGAACTATTGAATTATTATTTTTTTTCTACTATTTCATTCTGCAGAGAAATGGTCAATGCATGGTTTGCTGAGAGAATTCATCCTATCCCAGTCTGTAAGGAAGGAGTCAGAGGTCACACAGAGTCCTGCTCTTGTCCTACTCAACAGAGTCCCCGTTCTGAGACCACTGCCCCTGGGACCCCCACCAGGAAGATCTCAGCCTCGGAGTTTGACAGGCCACTCCGGCCCATTGTGGTCAAGGACGCTGAAGGAACTGTGAGCTTCCTCTGTGACTCGGAGAAGAAGGAACAGATGCCTCTGCAGCCCCCCAGGTTTGGTACTGACACAGGAGATCAGTGCTCAGGGCTCTTGGAGCTTGTGAAAGATATTTCTAGTCATTTGGACGTCACAGCGCTTTGTCACAAAATCTTCTTACACATCCATGGGCTGATCTCTGCCGATCGCTATTCCCTTTTCCTGGTTTGTGAGGACAGCTCCAATGATAAATTCCTCATCAGTCGCCTGTTTGATGTCGCAGAAGGCTCCACTCTGGAAGAAGCTTCCAATAGCTGTATTCGCTTAGAATGGAACAAGGGAATTGTGGGTCATGTGGCGGCTCTGGGGCAGCCCTTGAACATCAAAGATGCTTATGAGGTAATGAGGGTCTGCCCAGGATGGGGGAGGGGAAATGGGGACATTGTCCTGGATTCCATTTCATTCAACACATATTATTCAGTACCTACTCTGTGGAAGGCTGTCCTGGCATCAGCATGACAAAGACACCAACTTTGCATCACACTAGGGGGGCATGATATGTGTGCAAATAAACACAGTGCATGAAAAATTGAGGAGGGAGGAAGTCCTAAGGACTGGGGTAATCAGGGAAGGCTTTGTGAGGAGTTGGCACTTGGATTGAGCTTTGAAGGAAGACAAGGACTCTGAGAGGCAGCACGTTCCAAGCTTGGGGAATGGCTTCTGCAAATGCACACAGGTGGGAAATTGAGGATTGAGCTCATGAAACAGCTAGGCTGATAGGACCATTTAAAGATGAAAAGGAAGAATAAGCAGCTCAGATCCAATAATGAGAGTATTCTTACTTCAGATCTTGCTTGATTTCCACCATATACTTCCTTCTTCACTAGGGTTAATGATCAATGAACAAAAGCCTTCATTTTTTTCATAGGATTTTATCCTCTAACTCAGCTTGACACCAAGGGGTGGGGCTTGTGATCAACCAATCAGAAGGTAGGAAGATGAGTCACATCCCACTCTACCTCAGAATGGCCAGTTGAAGAGTTTGTCTTCAGCACAACCACACCTCCCCTTAACACCTATAGCCCCCAGGTCACTTCACTGCAGGAAGACCAGTTCTGTGCCCCGGTACAGTGAACAACTGAGTAATAGTCTCACTCCCTTCATGCATTATGAGAGAGAGAGAGAGAGAGAGAGAGAGAGAGAGAGAGAGAGAGAGAGAGAGAGAGAGAGAGAGAGAGAGAGAGAGTCAGAGTCACTCATAATGAATAAGTACAGATGGCTTGTGATTTACAGGGCTGATCTCATTACATATTATCTTGTTCCCCAAACACTGTCCTATTCCAAATCTGTTTATTACTGTTAGTACCTCTTCACTTCAGGCAACCCAGGTTCCTATCCCTTCCTCTTCTAGATATCCAGTGCCAAATCTTAGTATTTCAAGACCTCCCCAGTATCTCTCACTTCTGTCCCCTTCTCTCTACTCACCCAGCCCTCACCCTAGTTCAGGTCCTTGTGAGCTATTACCTAGAATATTTAAGTAGCCTCCTAATAGGGCTCCTTGCCACCAGTCTCCTCCATCTCAGATCCATCCTACACATAATTGCCAAAGTGATTTTTCCAAAGCACGGGTCTGACACTGCCACTCCCCTACTCAATAAACTCTCATGGCTTCTTGTTGACTGTTTCATCTTTTTTTGTTTGTTTGTTTTCTGGTGAGGCAGTTGGAGGTAAGTGACCTGCCCAGGGTCACACAACTAGTAAGTGTTAAGTGTGAGGCTGGATTTGAATTCAGGTCCTCCTGACTCCAGGGCCAGAGCTCTATTTACTGAGCCACCTAGCTGCCCCCTTGACTGTTTCATCTTTATCTCATCTTTTTAAATTTCCATTTTTGTCTAACTTTTATGATATATGCAATTATTAGCATAACAGTCAATGCATATAATTGCAAGTAAGTCAATATACACATATTGAGTTGTATCCTCATTTTTTTTTTAAATGATAGGGGTGTGCTATTGGAAGAAGTTTGGAGAGCACTGGTGTGGCGATCATTCAATTAAGTGTTAGTGTCTGTGGGACATGGAACAGCCATGCTGGTGGTCACGATATTCTTAATTAGGAAAGACGCAGAGAGAGAACTAGAAGCATTTCAAGAGCAGTTTGTTGGGAAGGGAGCCATGATGGTGGACCCCGAATTGTCCTTCATTGGCCTCATGGGTTCTTGTCTGCTCTCTGGTGCCTCAGCTCCCATCACCTTGCTTTGTAGCAAAGACCTTGGGCTGGAGTTGTGATGAGGCTTTAAGGAATTGGGGTAAGAACCCTGACTTTGGAGTCAAAAGACCTGGGTTTGAATCTTGGCCCTGTCACTTAACCACCTCTTTCACCTTGGCCAAGTCTCTTCAGTGACCCAGGCCTCAGTTTCTTCACCAGTAAAATCATGAGGTTGGCAAAAAGTTACTAAATTGTGCATACCTAACCCAGATGTGCACATTCTGATCCAGGGATACAACTACTAGATACATACCCCAAAATGTACCAAATAAAGAGGAAAATGGCCCACATGTAAAAAATATACGTGTGTATGGAGACATACATGCAAATAATATAATATATACGTATACATGTGCATACACACAGAAATATTGTGTGTATGCCTATATACACACACATATGTATATATATGCATATATGTGTCTGTGTGTATACGCACACATACACACCCACTCTTTTCATAGCAGCTAAAAGTGAGAAACTAAGGAACTGTCTTCCTATTGGGTAATTGCTAAGCAGATTGCAGTGTATGAATGTAATGAAATATTGTTGTGTGGTAAGAAGTGATGAAGGGGATGGTTCCAGAGAAACCTGGCAAGACTTGCGTGAACTGATGCAAAGTGAAGTGAACAGAACTTGGGGAACAGTGTATACAGTAACAGCAATGTTGTAACAGCAATCAGCTGGGAAAGACTTAAGAACCCTGATCATGCAATGATGAACCATGAGTCCAAAAGACTGAGGAAAAAGCGTGTCCCTCATCTCCTGCGGAGCAGGAATGAACTCATGATGCAGAGAGAAACCAACCTTTTTGCTCCTGGCCACCATGGGTTTTGTTTTGCTGGACTCCAAATGTTTATGATAAGTACTTTCTTTTTCTTTTTCTTTCTTTTTTGGTTCAATGGGAGAGGTTACAGATTACAAGTGAATGCATAAACCAATGCAAGTTTAAACATAACAAGGTTGGCTTGCATGATTTCTGTGGTCCTCCCAGCTCTAAATTCTATGATTCTCTGATTTGCTTTTCACATAAGTCCAGCCTAACAGAGACAGATGGCAGCAAGCAGAGGATCAGGGCCAGAGGATCAAGGGGCCAAAAGATCATAGATCTATAACTGGAAGGGACGTTAGATGCCATCAAGGCCAACCTCCTTCATTTTACAGATGAAGATACCGAAGCCCAGAGATGTGAATCCACTTGCCAGGTGTCACAGTAAATGTCTGAGGCAGGATTTGAATCCAGGTCTTCCTGACTTTAGGCCCAGGGCTCTATCAACTACACCAGGGGTTCTGGACATCTTTGGTGGTCTGATAAAGCCCGTGGTCCCCTTTCCAGAATGTCTTCAAATAATAGCTTTATTTTATTTACATAGCACTTTAAGTTTTGCAAGGTGTTTTACAAATATTATCTCATTTAATCCCCACAACAACCCTGAGTGGTATCTGCTGTTATGATCCACATTTTACAGATGAGGAAACTGAGGGAGAGATTAAGTCACACAGCTATGTGTGCCTCAGGTATGCCTGACTACAAGTTCAGTACTCTACTCACTGAGCCACTTCACTTCCTTTAAATTTTAAAATGTGTGAAATAAAATACATAAGACTACCCCCCCAAAATGGCTTCCCCCATTAGAATATAAGCTCCTTGTTGGCAAAAACTGTCTACTCATAATTGCATTACTACCAGTGGCTAGCACAGTACCTGGCACATAGTAAACACAAGAAATCCTTGTTGATTAACTAAGGAAAGGAATTATATTGAAATACAGGTTTAGATATATTGAGGAAGAAAAAGAAGTTCATGGAAGCCCAGTTAAGAACCCCTGTGGCCATGACAATTGTATCAGTGAGACCATTCATCATGGGACCTTGAACACAGTGAGCTTGCATTCGTGACATTATGGATACATTATGGGATGTGAGATGGGCCTTCCTACCAGGGCATCATCTGGAAGTGCTTTTTGCTCTGTGGATGCCTGCACGCCACTGACGTTGTGATTTGCCGACTAGACTTGGCAAAGGGGTTCTGGCTTTGTTATCCTCATTCTTTATCTGTTTGCATGTAATCAGTATATTGTTTACATTATAGAATTAGATAATGGCTTTTTACTCTGCCTTCAGAGGAAAATATTCAGCTGCACAAAGGGCTTCTAGCCTTGACATAGGTTTCTGAATACGTCTAATTACCTTGGAATTGGTCGTTTGTAAGAGTAATTTTCAAGTTTCTGAAGCATGACCACTTCACACCTCCCAGCCAAGATTGTTAGCGTCAACTTTAAAAATGTCATAATAGAAAGTATGCCCCTTCCTCATGTAGGAATAATAATAGCAACGATAGCAATTAATAATGATAACAGTGAGAGCTAGCATTTATGTAGCACTTGGAGGTTTGCTAGGCACTAAGGAAGCACTTTACAAATACTGCCTCATTTGAGCTTCACAACAGCCCTGGAAGGTAAATCTGTCCTATATTTATCCTCATTTTACAACCGAGGAAAATGAGTCTCAGAGATGTTATATGACTTGCCCAGGGTCACCCAGTTAGTGTCTGAGGCTGGATTTGAACACACATCCATCTGAATCCAAGTCCAGTGTTCTATGCACCGAACCAATGAGCTCGAACACTGATGGGATACAATAGCGGGAGGTCCTTTGGACCATGCAGGAACCACTCACGATACAATGCCCATGGCTGTGGTGTTTCTCTCTTTGGGAAGATGATGAGAACACTGTATATTGAGTACACGCTATGTGTAAAGCACTGGGCTCCGAGAACAATACCAAGATTTATGTGACATGGGCCCTACCCTCAAAGAGCTTACAGTCTAGTAGTGGAAAATAAGATAGGGATTAGACTTCAGAGTTTTGGAAGCTCAGTCTCCCAAGATAAGTCAGCATGCCTGCATCTTGTCTTCTTGTAGAGTAGCTTAGGGAACAAGGAGGTTAAGTGACTTGTCCAGGGTCACCTAGCCAGGATATGCTGGAGATGGAACTCAAACTCAGGTCTTCCCGCTTTCAAGGCTGGCTCACTATAGTATTCACCATACTACCTCCCCAAGATATCCATACAAATAAACATAATGCACACTTGGCTAAGAGATGCCAGATGCTCCAACAGCTCACAGGCT